TCGATGCAAGCTAAATCACAACTGCAAAGATACTAAATTAACAATGAACAAATTAATAATATAATAATTTAATAATAAACGTTCAAGTACAAAAAAAAAAGTAATAATTTTTTCCCCACATTGAAAAAGGTGCCGGTACGCTGTACCGGTGCGTACCGTCACAAAAAAAGCACTGAGTCGATGATTCTCGAACATCACACTCTAATGTTGTTTTTTTATCAAGAGCAATAGGTACTTATAATGCTTTACGTTGGATTAGTAAAATCTTAAAACGTTTCAAATCCAATTTAACGTCCACCTTGTTTAATATTTTTTGTTTATATATATATTGTTGGGGATTTTTTTACACCTGTTTAGAAAACACAGCTATAATTTAAAAAGGCAAGAATGACAAACAGATTAAGAAATTTTGCGTGTTGGTAATGACACACCTAGAATTTTACGACGTAAGAATCAGAAATAGATTTCCGGTTCAACCTAAGCCTTATGTAGGACTTATTTTCGTCCCCGAAAATATCTTAGATAATGAACCATTTGATTATTAGTGAAATATCATATAATATTTTAGAATGTTAACAGACTAGTGAACTAGGGGTTGTTTAAACATATAACTAGGCTTCCAAATATATTTAGACCACTTTTAAAGCTATATCTTAACAATAATTGTTTTATTACTGCCGAGGAAAAGATGAAATGGTAGAAACAGCAATTCTTTTCCCTGACCACTTCACATTATAATTTGTCTAAATTTGTCTAATTTGTTTAAAATCTATAATCGTTAACTTATATCACACTAACAATTAAAAAAGCTATTAATAAAAAATTTTAAACATTAGGAAGAAATGTTCGTATGTTATATCCTACCTTCAATACCAATAAAAGAGTCAGTTAAGTATTCACAATTTAGGGTGTAGTTAACAGCGACACTCAAATTAGGAATTCCCGTTCTTATAAATATAATACCCTCAGTGGCGTCTCTAGCCGTCGCGCTACGCATTCGATCAGTTAAAATAGAACGCCTGACCTACTTTTTTTACAAGCTTTTAATATCTGTGGGTTTGTGACTCCATTTTAACCCACTTCTAATGTAGCGATTTCGTTCGAATTTTCCAGATATGTTCTTCTTCGATGACAATGCTTGAATATCTTTTTTTGTCTAATTAGATTGACAACTAGTCGTTAAATATTAATTGAAGAAATTCTAAATTTAGTAGAAAAATCTCAAACGTTTACTTTGATCAGTTTGTTTATAATTGTGAACTTTGTATCATGGTTGGTTGATTTTTCGTCTGCGCTTCAACCACAACAGAATTAGGGGCAGGTAATTATCTCTTGGAAATCGCAAACTATTGGTCGGGTTTTAAGTCCGTGTAGTGTTAACTTCATTTTGAAACGAACGTCAAAAAGTGGAAAATAAAACATAAAAAACTGTATAATAACAAGCTTTTTAATGCACCGAAAATAAAATAAAAACTTGATTTTTCTAATAAAAGCTTTGGCAAATGAAAAGAAGAGAGATTATAAGAGCGACTACAGTTTTTACTAGAAAAACCAAGTTTGTTTTATTTTATTTTTTTCGCTGCATTTAAAGCGTGTTATTATAAAGTTTTTATATTTGTTTTATGTGCGATGAAAGCCGCCAGAATAGAACAGGTCACGTTTTCACTTTCTTTACAAAGTATTTTGGACATTTCAAAAAACGTATACTTTTATTAGTTTTATTCAACAAAATCTTCGATACTAAAATGATTAAAACAATAGATGTTTAGTGTTTAGTGTACTCTGTTATGTGTAGTTTGTAGCCTACGTCCTTTTTCTTCTTATTCTGCGTTCTTAATTCTAGTGTTGAAAGGAATCCCCTCCAACACAATTAAGTATACGTGTCAACTGGTTATGCGCCATTTAGGTGTCTCCGATTTCAGCCTGCTTTTCTTTTTGGAATTTCGTCCATAGCCTTTGTCCGATACGCACGGAGTACCGGAGCAGAAGATAAGGTAAGATTTACAAGAAAAATATTACACAAAATCGTTAATGTGTTCCACCAAAGCAAACTACTTTAAAAGATAATTCAATATTTCTTCGAACAAATTTACTAGAAGAAAAGTGTTTGCAGTTAATAACCTGGACGAGACGACAGGGTTTCTTTCAGACATTTTTCTCCAGGGGAAAGGGGCGGACTAAATTTTCCAGGGGTGGGACGGATACTGCTAAAAAAAATTCTATATAAATTATAAAATTACATTGCGTTCGGAAAGGGGGGGGGGAGCACGATAGACGTGCTTCTGTGGGGGGGGGGGGTACCTGAAACAAACAGTGGACGACGGTCATCTAACTTAAGCCACTCTACTAGTACCCGCCTTGTTTTTCAATGGATGAGCCGCAGAAGACAAAATAGTTTTACAAAGCGGTGTACAGGGGTCACAACAGCAAGTGGAGGGGGGTATAACAGTATTACTAAGGCATACTTTTAGAATGGTTGCTATTTAATAACTAACGTCTATTTATAAAAAGAATTTTCTACGCTGCTGATTAACTTCAATAATTCAACTAGTATTAGATTGATTTTTTTTTAAATCCAGGTATTTAAGTCTAGTTATCTTGCGTACCTTTATAGAAACGTACACGTGAAAAACATCGACGAATATTATTACCGTACTAAAGGTAATGAATAGAAAGAACAAAGTAAGAATGTGCTATTAGATGGTGTTTGTTAAGCTGAGTAATGGCAAAAAAAGTATATGTTGGGTGCGTATACAATTTGTGTTCTAACTGTAAACGTAATGTTAATTGATGAGCTTTATTTATAATAGATCTAAAGTCGTTTTCTTCTAAAGTAGTTTCCTTCTTGGTTATGCAGTGCTTTTATTTTATTTCCATCGTCTTTAATCACCTGAACTGCTTGGCTAATTCAACATCTTTCAATTGTTTGTTAAAATGAACTATTTACATATTATTTTTATTGACAATACTATTTTCTTAAATACACATATCCTCAAGAATGTGAACAGTGTATTTATTATTACTGAAAAGTATATATCAAGTGTTTTTAATAATAACTTTAATAGCTCAACAAAAGAAAAAAAAATATTTTTTAAAAATTGCGCTTTGGGAGTTTTACACAGAGGGTTGACTATTTCCATAACATGCAACAGTATACAAACATGCAAACACGGGGCTTCTATGCAGTGTTTCTTCCAGACTTTCTTCTCCGGGGGGCATTTGAAATTTTCTGATGGAAGCTGTCTAAAATTTTCGGTGGGGGCCCAACACTGTTAAAAGTATATATTTTCTATATAAATTCCATTTCGTTCGAAAGGGGGGGGGGGGGGGCGTAGACTTTCTTCGAGGGGGGGGGGGGGAGCCTTCCCGAAGAGATGCCTGGAAAAAACTCTGCTTGTATGAAAAGCTAAGAAAATACCCATTTAATTTTTTTTTCGTTAATTTATGCCTTTAAAGATTAACATCAAGTTTTTATGAAACTTTAAATAGAAATAGAAGCCATAAAATATAGCTTTCTGAAATATATTACTTTTTTGTAAAATTAGAAAGCACTCTAATTTGAAAATTAAAAGAAAAAATTAATGCTGCATTAAACTGACTATAAAGTTTAATTTTGTATTATTGTCTGCATTGATTATTTATTCCAGCCAAAATACACGACGAGTTACTAAAACTTTTTTAATTTTCGTTTTTTAACCAGTTTTTCTTCCAGGAACCCCACCCCCCTCCCTTGGAATTTATATAGAAAATATATACTTTTAACCGGTTCCCCCCTTCTCTCCCCCCCCCCCCCGGAGAAAAAAGTGTGGAAGAAACACTGTAATATGTAGTTTCATGTGGCAAAAGTATAAATAAATGTTTTATAACAGATATTTTCATCCTGGAAAACAAATCGAGGATTGTGCCCAATGCTTTAACAATCTATACCATTATTGTTTACAATATGAATATATTTTGTCTGGTTGGGAAAGTAAAATATAATCAGACTGAAGTAAAATTCGGGTGGTTTTGTATGCAAGTACAATATATTCAGAAAGTGTTTTATTCAACGAATCAAAATGAAGACCACAGTCATATCAATTTTATATATACATCAAAATTAGGGTTATATATATGGCATTGTTTTACAAATTGATATTCAAACATGTAAATACTTAAGAATGATCATTAAATGTGTTACTTTTATTTAAAGAATTATAAATCAAATAATAACAAACAAAGGTCTATTCATTCGTGGTTCTTGTTATGTTCAGTGTTTTACAAAGGTGAAAGGACAAATTATCTCAGACAAAATATCTCAGACAAAATATCTCACAGACACATGATCTGAGGACAAATGATCTCAGGACAAATGATCTCAAGGACAAATGAGATATTTTGTCTGAGATCATTTGTCCTGAGATATTTTGTCATGGAACCATTACAAAATATATACATTTGGACGTGCATTTCCGATACATGCAGTTAAAACCTGTAAAATTGTCCCTGTCTTAGACAATTGCTCAGGTTTTTCACACACACACACACACACATACATACATCTCTCACACACACACTTTACTCCCTATAAAGATGTCAGTTGCCTTTACACTCAGTATCACACATAAGGCTTATCCAATCATGTGACACGCAGACAGATGGACATATGAAATAGCCATTATAAAAAAAATGACCAGTCCAAGTTTTGCCTTTTGAGCAAGAATACTACCTCTTGGATTGCCGACACTCAATTTAGTGGCGTAGCGAGGTCGGGTGTCACCCGGTGCGAATGTCACCCCCCAGAGGCGTAGCGACTCTTCACGGCGCCCGGGTACAAACTTTCAATTTTCGATTTGCAACCCCCCCCCCCCCCCCGCTCAAACTTTCGATTTGTACCCCCCCCCCCCAAACGTTCGATTTGCACTCCCCCCTCAAACTTTCGATTTTACACCCCCCTCTCAAACTTTCGATTTGCACCCCCTTCCCCCCCCCCCCCCCCCCCCCTTCCACCCTTGTAGGGATTTGTCAAATTTGCTGTTAAAAGACTTTTTAACACTCGAATTAATCACTTAATTAAGTGGAATTATCATTTATCTCTATATATTTTGTTATTTTTTGCCTTGGTGTCACCCCCTAAATGGTGTCATCCGGTGTGGTCCGCATCCCCCCCCCCCCTCGCTACGCCACTGACTCAATTCATTATTGTTTCTATTTGAACAATTTCTTTTTGTTTTAATATTTACTATTTAACTAAATTGTACTATATTTATTTTAATATATTCACATTTGTAACATAATTATTGTCACGTTTCCATCTATATGTTTATGTACAGCCCATTATGTGGTGTTATGTTTATTATATTGTATATTATATACATAAATATGTATATATATTAATTTATTGCTTTCCTCAAATTCTAGGGTTTTGATCCCAGATTCAACTCCGTATAACGTCACTGAGTCCTCACATTACTGATGGGTATCTGACTTGGGTTAGGGAAAGTAAAGGCGAATGGGCATGATGTTGACAGTATTATATCCCATTACAGGACAAGTCACAGAAACAGATGAATTCTACTTTATCTGCTTTATGAATCGTCTGGGTCGCATGGGTTAAGTTAACTTACTTTTACTCTCAATAATATTTATTTTCAGTAGATAATATAAAAAAAAATAGACTGTCATCGTCATTCTTTGACAGTAGTAGTTAATTATAATGTGTTGAATGTGCTTTCATTGCTTTTTCAGTTCATTGACATTGTTATTTTTCACAGCTGTTGACAACGTGTATACCTGCTCCAAGTTTCTAATTATGTTTTTAAATCACCAAACACACGTCTACGATACGATTTATTGTTATAACCTTAGTTTCAAATGTGATATCGCTAAGACTAAAAAGGTAGCGCCTCATTGGCACTATGGAGTCACCTAATTACTACGCAAAGATTTGAATTTTTCACTAACTTTTAAATCTATAAATGTTCATGAAATAATATTTGTATGAGTGTGTACATCCGTTGAAAACCGCGTTTTAAAAATATTTTTTAAAAATATCGCCTTTCTGGACGGCTAAGTATTCGAATGAACAGATAGATTGTTTATAAAATCACAATAAGGAAATATCCGTTTATGCTCCGCTACAGGATCATCGGTAGGCTCAAATTCTTTCAGTCCCCCTCCACAGTGAAAACATCTGACACGGTCACCTTGTTCTGAAACAATCACAGGTTTTAATCATGGCATTAGAGGTAGGGCAAAAGAAATACCATATGAAGACGGTACTGGTATGGTTTAGCATTTTGTTGTATTGTGCTGTTTTTACTTTCTCGTATATACGAAGTATAGAGAAAGTCTTGTAATCGTGCAAAAAAAAAATCGAGATTTTTGCAAATCTCGACGTTTTACATCTCACTGATACGGAAAAACATAATTTTGCAATCTTGTCCGTATGTCTGTGTGTCCGTGTGTGTGTGTGTGTGTCCGTGTGTAAACACGATAACTTGAGTACCGTTACAGCTAGGTTGATGAAATTTCATATACAAGTATTATATCAAAATCGTAGATCCGTATCAACTTTTGAGCGATTTCGGATAACCGGAAGTGGTACTTTTTCTACTTTGAATTTTTCAAAAGCCTATAACTTGAGTACTATTTCAGATAGATAAATGAAATTTCACATGTAAGTAAAAGATCTAATTCTCTACCTTCTGTTAAATTTTGAGTAATTTCCGTTGACCGGAAGTAGTACTTTACGCTACTTCCGATTTCTCAAAAAACTAATGTAAATTTATAAAGTACTAATACTATTGCGCACTATTATATACACCTTTATTAGGCGTTCGCTTGGTGCGCAATTGTTTTTTACTGAGATTCTATTCTATTTTTAAAAGTTTCAGTATTTAAAATGGATTAAAGATCATAACTATATCCCCAGTTACCATCCCCTGTTGTTTTATATAAGAATATTCGAGAAAGTTTAGGGGAGATCACTACCGGTTTATTTGAGTACTGATTCTAGAACAATATAACATAACGCTGCTTTGCTTTTATTTATTCACGTTTTTACATAATTCTTGTTACTTCAAATAGCTGGATGAATACCCCTGGCATTGCAAGCTTTAGGCTTTGTTTCCTTTACTAAAATGTTATCTTATCGTGTCAACCAAATTAAAATATAACTTGCTATATATTTATTCTTAGATGATGTGATTGCAATAGTTTATAATTAAAAACACGCATATATATATATATATATATATATATATATATATATATATATATATATATATATATATATACATATATATATAAATGTAATGTATAATACCTATGTACCAGAATCCGGCTCTAGCGAGTCTCTCAGGCCTTATGGGGTGATTTGGAGGCCATTCCTTATATGTCTCTAGCCTTTGCTGGTCAGTTGCGTATTCTGAACGTTTAGGTGTGTCACTTTGACTTTTTGTTGTGTCACTTTGATTTTCTGTTGTGTCACTTTGATTTATTGTATGTGAGGAAACTGTGCCTACGCCCCGGCTAATCCCTGCCTTTGCGTTTGCCATTGTGATGTGCTTATATCCTCAACTCTCGTGGGCCGCCAGGGTTATGAGAGTATTCGGTTGTCTTCCTTGAACCCTGTTTTTGTTCTTTTCTATATTTTTGTTTTTGAATAGTCTTCTGTAATCTTTGGCTGACGTGAAGGAAAGAATGGAATGATACAGACTTTATCTAAATGGCATGAGCGTTTTAAAATGAACTTATACCTGACTGCCACACACCAATTGTTTCCGTGGGGGGGGGGGATGTCCGGGGATAATTGACGTGGGGGTGGGGTAGTACAGTTCCCTAATACAAATACCCATTTCGTTTGATGGTAGGGTTTGAACAATACCATTTTAAAATCATTTGAAGCGGGCAATTTTAAAATCTGATGTTCACTAAAAACAATAAAGTTTGCAAATAAATAACATAATAATAATAATCGTCTGTAAAATAATAATTTACATTGAACATACCACCATTAGACGCTAGTACAGACATATGAGCGGATAATTTCAGATAATAATATATATCACATTCAAGTTTATATTTCATACAATTATAGCTTACAAAACATATAAGCCTACTATAAAAATCATTTTGAACCAATAGTATAAGACATTTATTTGTAGCATGTATTGATCAGGAAGAGAGTTTATATTATATGATGATTAAATAACGTAAATATTCACATGTATAGAAAACGTATATGATGGTCCTTACGGCATAATGTTCAGAATTATTTTATAACACACATGTTTATAAACAAAAAATTATCGATGACAGAATTTTCCAATGTACACAACAGTTGGTGTGTAGATTATTTAATCGATTAGCTAGCTTGGCAACGGTCCTATGTATAGAATCGATTAATCGATACGTCACATTGATCAGCTAGTCGACCTTCAGTTATGTGGCAGTTCGTGTGTCAAAGAATAGAGTGAATCTGGTTAGACTCTGAGTTGTTGCTCTCAATAAACGTAGCTAATTAACTAACTTAAAACCTGAATTATTTTATTTAAGATTATAAAAAGCATCCTCCCTACTGCAGAGAGGTAGCGAGGCGGGAGGTGGGGTGGGTTCGGACCGCACCGGGAGACACCATTTAGAGGGTGACACCAAAACAAAAAAAATGCAAGAGATATAGAATAAATATGTTTTTGCCTTTTCAATGAATGGCTAAATACAGTTTCAAAATATTTTAAGTAAATGATGACGATCCCGACAAGGGAGAAGATGGGAGGTGGGTGACACCAAGACGTAAACATGCAAACTATAGGCCTAGAGAAAACAATGCTACATCCAGCTGTATTAACAACCGACTACAGATAAACATCATTAGTATTAAATGTGAACACTTTAAAGCTTTTACCGGAAAGGGTGGGAGGACGACACCAATTGCAAAATTTACAGAGAAAAGAAAAGTAAGGGGTGACACCATGAGGTGCCGCACCGGATAGCACCCGACCTAGTGACGCCACTGCCCTAATGTAAGAGTGTTGTAAATGTTATAGGGGAAAAGACAGTTAGCTAATATGTGGGTATTAGATCCATGGAGGGTTGTTTATATTGTAAACCCCTGGTTATAATAACAAAACTATTAAAATTGTATATGGATGTATATTCGTGTATGTGTGCGTGTGTTGTTTGAGTGTGAGTGTGTGCGTGCGTGTGTGTGTGTGTGTGCCTGCGCGTGATAACGCGTGCGTATGTATGTGTGTGTGTAGCATAGGTAACATTAGCACCTAAATTATGAAACGGATGTCATCATGTCTGCCACTTCAATGTACCTCTACCACGTATTTGAACCCGGAACCTTTATCTTCCTAACACTGTAAACACACCGTGTGTTATAATCGCCCTACAAAGTCACGATAATAAAGAATGGAGAAGTTTACCAAAGAAAGTTGAAGTACGCTACAACTAAGTTGTATTAAGGCGTGCCGGCAACACCAGTCTAACTCAACCCAATATAACAGAGCTGGGTGACGTATTGTAACATGGGACCTGTATCAGATGTAGAGGGAGTATACGATTAGATCATGCTGTGTTATTGGACAGCTTTATGTAACATATGACTTGACATTAGACCGTGTAACAGTTGATTTGGCATATGCTGCGCTGAACCTAAAATAGATATTACGTTGTTTTTTTTTTAAATAATAATAACAGCTTGTGGGTCGGCGTGGTCGAGTCGGTAAAGCTCATGGTTGCTAAACCGAAAAGTCTCGAGTTCGAACCCTCGGGCAGATGAGGCTCGTTAGCTGCCACTCCTCTCTAGGAGAGGCAACTCCAAAATTAGACAACTGCTGCCTTGTAGTTTGTTCTTGGTTGGACAAAGGCAATGGAAGCAAATCCAAAAAGAAAAGCAGGCTGAAATCGGAGTCAATGTCCTCAATGGCGCATAACCAGTTGACACGTAACGCTTAATTGTGTTGGAGTCGTGGTCGGGTCGGCAAAAAGATCATGGTTGATAAATTCGAACAGTCTCGAGTTCAAACCCACTGGCAGATAAATCTCGATCCCCTTCAACACTAATAATTAAGAACGAAGAAGAAGAAGTAATAACAGCTTGAAATGTTTATGTCAAAATGTATATAGAAACTTTCTAAAAGTGGGATCAAGTCAAAAGTGTGTCTTGCTATTTGTGTCGATCAAATAAAACGTGTAAAATTTGGTTTAATTTGCGTGACCTTAATTTTGAACGAACTTTCGTTTAACTTACGTTACTGTTTTGTTTATGGAAACTAGAAGGTAAAAAAAATAATTACGTAATGGTCTAATTTTAGACAGCCTTAGACCCATACCTGCTGACCATAACAACTCTACACATGTTTACAAACACATCGAACCAACAATAGCTAATTGTAATATATAGTTTGAATCATTAAAACATGGTCAAATGTTAAGACCTAATGAGTCTAATTATTAACTACTTTATTTGTTTGTTTTTGTTTTGTTTTTGTTTTCTTTTTTTTTTCAATTAAACTTTAATCCTACGTATTCATTCTGTGAACTATGAAGCAATATTTAAATTTAGTATCCAGGTCAAGTCATATAACTCCCTTAATTTTGATCGTAGTAGTGATATGTTCACGTATATAAATTATATATATATATATATATATATATATATATATATATATATAAACTGTTCTACAAAAATCAAATGTTTTAATGAGCTCATCAAAACTGATACCATAAAGAATCAACCCCTAGACAACAACATTGGGAGTTAAGTTATCCCCAGGGAAGAAAAATTTAAACGACGCCCCTGAATGACTGAGACTATAAATAGGTTCCGACGTAGGCAACAGTCAGCTTTATCTAGAAAATTCTAGAGTGAACTGGTTTATATAAAGAGTGTGTGTTTTATTTTTCCTAGCTTCAACCAAAATAAAAACGGGTTTTCCCAAAATTACCAAATGTAAAAATAACTGAGGCAAGGGCAATAAATGATACATTTCTTCATCCATTTACTTTGTAAATCCAAACACTGATACAAGTATAATATACATCTATTGCTATGATATAAATTAGATTTTTTTTTTGCAATGAGATTTAGATCTAGGTGTAGAGAAACATGTAAATAAACTAAAACCTTGTATAAAAAGAAATCAATATTCAATATTCATTTTTTCGCCTGGCGTTTCATTTCCGTTTTAGTAATATATTCAGAATATGAGGTCAATCGTTATAAGATTATACTGAAAATGACTTTTTGAGTATATATCCTGATCAAAGTAGGGTATACTCTTTATTTATTTTAGCATATTAATGTATTATATCTTTCTCAATTACAAAACATTACCTCTTGCAATTTAATCCGTTAAAACGAAAAACAAAAACACTGACAGGTATTTCCGTCTCTGTGTTAATCCCTTCGCGCGGTGTATGCTGGGACGGTCAGTACAGGTGTAGAAGACTATAAATGGAATTTTAGAATTTCCGATTCGCGATGTTACAATACAGGATTAATAGACTATAAATAGAATGTTAGAATTCCCGATTCGCTCTGTTAATCGTGAGACAGTCAATAGTAGCGAGAGTAAATAACCATGGCATACAACAGAAGTCTGCCCATTTTTAACCAAGGATACATTTTTTTTTCCATCGATATGAAAAGAAACGCAAAGCAATATTTACGGCCAAGGCCTACTCTCTAGAAACGGTATGATTTTTACCACATTTTTAGAACTATTGGATCCATCTTATCCCTAAAAATGAAAGTAGACTATTTCAACTGGGGTTCGCCCACTTACCGCCAGCAAGTAAACCAAAGCGTGGAGGTGAGGTGTGAAAATGTGTTGCCGTTATATTTTCTTTCACAGGACTACAAGGCCACAAGATTTTTTAGTTAGGTCCTGTAGGACATTTTACAGTGCTACAAGATTTTTTAGTTAGGTCCTGTAGGACATTTTACAGTGCTACAAGATTTTTTAGTTAGGTCCTGTAAGACATTTTACAGTGCTACAAAATGTTTCAACTGGGTCTTTTAGGACATTTTACAGTGCTGCAAAAAGTTTTAGAGAGGTCCTGTGGGATATTTTACAGTGCTACAAAATGTTTTAGAGAGGTCTTGTAGAGCATTACACGTTGCTACACGATGTAGGCTATAGACGTGTCCTGTAGGACATTACACAGTGGAAGTAACCAGGTCTTGGAGCTAAACTCGGAGTTAAGCTTGGAGCTATGGGGTAAGTCATTTTGTGCTGGAGTTAAAGTTGGTAAAAATATATTTCAGCTAAAAAAATATTATGAATGTGTGAAAATTTTCTTCTATATTTTTTTTAAACTTAGATACCATGTCAGTACAAATGATGGTCATACATACATTTAGAATAGTTCTTTGAATACATCATACGTAGAAACATTTTATTTTTCTTTGCTATTTTTTTAAATGTTAGAAAATCAGTTTCTACATAATTTTCTTCTATAAAATTGGTTTAGTCAAGGAGTGCGGTACCTTTGAAGCCGTAGAACAAATTCTATAATTAATACATCACTTTGTTTTCAACTAACCATTAGCGTCAGTGTAAAGCTGACAACCCAGTTTTAGACCCGGACCCTAGAAATACAAACGTGTCTTGTTACGACTGTCGTCTGCGAAACACTGTTTCTAACAGACTTTTTTTCCGGGGCGGGGGCACTTGGCATTTTCGGGGGGGGGGGGGGGGGGACAACAACATTTTCCGGGGGGGGGGCAGGCGGACGCCGGTAAAAATATATGTTGTCTATATAAATACCATCTCGTTTGGGGGGGGGGGCAGGGTGGTAGATTTTCTCCGGGGGGAAGGGCTCACCCCTCCCCCCGAAGAGATGCCTGGAAGAAGCTCTGCTACGAAAAGATTAAAGTCGCAAAACCAGCACAATCAATTAATATGCACATTTTCAACTTCATCGGAAATTCCCTATCTCCTCCGGCACCGAAACATACAAGCATCCATTTTTAGTGCGGATGTCAGTGTGTTTATCAAAATTGTGTACTAGCCTAGAGAGCCTTTTCAACTCTGGCGGCAAACATTCGATGAATGAAGTATGTCTTTAGTTCTGCCAAGTCTTCCTCACAACCTGCCGTCCGGAACGTCGGTGGCCTCGTCGCTGACTGTCTCACGGGCATCGGTGAGTTGGTGTTGGGTTCAAACCTGTGTTAGATTTAAATCCATTCAATATGTCCCGCGTAAGAAACAGTAAAGACTTTAGTTTAGATAGTGATCTATATCATGGTAGTCTTTAGTCTTAATTAACTCTTTTTGCCCGAAGCCCTCTTAGCCTTTTAGAGATTCCCTAACGTCGATATTGACGAAAATACCTTCCATCATTATTGTTGACATGAATAAAAATAGTATTTTGTCAATTTTGCCATTATAGCTTACCGTCAAAATAAATAAATTTTAAAAACAAAACTTAAGCTAGAATTTTTTTTTAATTTAATAGTTTTGAATCGATAGTGTAAAAGCTGCAAATGCAGAGAACTTGAAAAATAATTTGTTATATTAAAGGCTTCATTTCTATTTTTCTTATTTAGCCTAAATTATAACCTTAAGTTTAACTTTCGTTATTGGCTGTACATGAACTCTGATCGCTCTTCTGTAATTTGTACTCAAAACTTTGCCGATAAATTATTTTAATAAAATTATACCTTTCTAAACTACATGTCCTAGTTAAGCATGTTTTATTTACATTTCGAATAATTCCGAGACTATTCTCGTTTGAGTCCATTGACGCTGGCCTTTCAACACCTTGCCCGTTAACAGATGGCAGACCGATGTTCTAGCCTTTAACTTAACAACCTTGTCTTAGTGAATCAACACGGGGGGGGGGGGGGATGTATCGCTTTGCCATACAAAGTAATATATGAGTACTAATGTAACGCTAATATCGCAAAGAATGATTTAGTTAATGATACGGTATTTTGCTCGTATTATCACACGTAGGTTGGCAGCATTTGTATATTTAATATTGTTAAATCAATGCTAATTAATATATTTTCTTTTAAGTCGTTTTGTTACTAGACGAGTCGCCCGTCTCTCTCTCTCTCTCTCTCTCTCTCTCTCTCTCTCTTGTACACGGTCATTACGGTAATCACTGGCATACCGGTCATTACCGGGTCAAGCTTTTTGTTCTTTAGCCAGCCAGACTTGAACCAGGCTACTACCCCAGTAGATTACATCACCTACTTTGGACATGGGGGGCAGTTCCGGTCAGGGGATGACCCTTTGTCTTGAGTCCAGGTTTCGATCTCAAATACCAAGCTTAAATGAGGCCCATTTATTATGATATAACTTGAAGCTATGAAATGTACGGGGATTCACTTCTTGCATATATAAATGGATTACATTTGTGTGTGTGTGTGTGTGTGTGAATTAGTGGCTAATCCTTGCCTAAACAGTCTAGCTGTAATTTCTTTCCACACTCCTTGTCGGGTAGCCAACATCTCCTGTCATTTCATGGTAGTCAACATTTCCTGTCATTTCATGGTAGTCAACATTTCCTGTCATTTCATGGTAGTCAACATCTCCTGTCATTTCATGGTAGTCAACATTTCCTGTCATTTCATGGTAGTCAACATTTCCTGTCATTGCACTATAGGCAACATTTCCTGTCATTTCATGGTAGGCAACATCTCCTGTCATTTTAGGGTAGGCAACATCTCCTGTCATTTTAGGGTAGGCAACACCTCCTGTCATTTTAGGGTAGGCAACATCTCCTGTCATTTTAGGGTAGGCAACATCTCCTGTCATTTTAGGGTATGCAACATCTCCTGTCATTTTAGGGTATGCAACATCTCCTGTCATTTTAGGGTAGGCAAACATCTCCTGTCATTTCAGGGTAGGCAACATATCCTGTCATTTTACGGTAGGCAACATCTCCTGTCATTTTACGGTAGGCAATATCTCCTGTCATTTTACGGTAGGCAATATCTCCTGTCATTTTACGGTAGGCAATATCTCCTGTCATTTTACGGTAGGCAACATCTACTATCAGCTAACGAAAGTGACGCTTATATCTGAGAGTCACTGACTCCACTAAAACATCATATTAATCCCAACATGAAATTTGTACAAAACGGAGTGAAATATCACCAAGGTTATGAACAATCCTATCCACCCCTACTTTGATTACCACACAACACCCCTTCTTTGTTTTAAAACGAGTTGTCAATTAACGATACCAAATCAGACAAAAGTTTTATTCGTATTATGAAGTCTACATTTTGGTGCATGTCTTAATTGATTAATTAACATCCCATGTCAAGTTTGGTGCATGTTCTAATTGATTAAATAACATACCATGTCATGTTTGGTGCATGTTCTCATTGATTAATTAACGTACCATGTCCAGCATGCACGAGAGCAGTGGACAGGACGGCTGGACTACCTGCTGTCATGTCTCGGCTTTGCTGTTGGTCTGGGCAACGTCTGGAGGTTTCCTTATATGGCCTTCAGCAATGGCGGAGGTCAGTCTAAAAATAGGATTCGTAAACGGCATGCTCCGTTAATAATTTCAATTTTGCAACATTTTTGCTATATTTTTTTTTTAAATTGCATGCTAGTTATTGTTTCGTTGTGTTGTTTGTTTGTTGGTTTTTTTTTCGTTATTTTTTAAAACGTTACCGTCCACGAATGACGTCACGCAAATATGTAAGCCCTTAGAAATATCAAAATATATTATAAACATATTTTATGCATTGTAATACTAGATTAAAATAAAAATACTACTTATATTATTAGATTGCTGAAGTAACTTTTTAAAAATTATAATGTATTAAGCCTTTATAATTTCACTGACGAGTTGCTAAAATTGAAAAAAGTGTTTCGACAAGCTAATTTTACTCCCATTTCGTTTCAGGGGCCTTCTTCATCCCCTATTTCACCATGTTAATCTTCACGGCGATGCCAGTTTTCGTGCTTGAGTCAATGGTGGGACAATTTTCAAGTCTAGGCGCTACAACATGTTGGGAGTTCTGTCCCTTCTTTAGAGGTCAGGTTTTAGTCTATTTCTCTCAAAACCATCAAAATAATTACAATTTCTTTTTTATTGTATTGTTTATAATTGGATTTTTTTAAAATGAGAATCCATAAAATTGGTTCACGTCGGTTAGACTGCCTATGTAGATTGTATAAGCTTGTCTTAAAAACGTATCGTATTTTTTCATTAATATTGAATAATATGTGATATTGACGTAAAGTAGATTTCTAGTTAACATACATTAAGTGCATCACATTATGTGACGTACTTAAACAATATGTCACCTGCGATATACTCCATATCGTATATTTCGTAACAATATATTTCATTATGTCTTTCTTCTGTACGAAACATAAGAAGTATTGTAATCTTGTAATAACAAATGGAAATTGAGTTAGGTTGACTCAATTTGAAATATAAGTAGGCCGAAAAGATCCTCTAATTAGGTATATTTTAATTTTTGAGTTATTTCCAATAAACTGAAGTAGTAGTTTACACTATTTCTAGTTTAAAAATACGAATAACTTCAGTACAATTTCAAATAGGTATATGAACATATATCATACGAGCCAACCCGCGACGTATCATACGCCGCTATTTAGTTGTTTTATTTTCTACTTTTCAGTAATTCATAATTTGTGAATTCGACAGTTGCAATGCTGCCACTGAAAATATTTGCTTTAAAACACTAAAACCCTCCTTTCCCCCAACCCCTACCCCCCCACCCCCACCCACGTGAAAGCAGCCTCCACTTAGTTACTTCCCCTAAGTATAAAATAGTTTTAAACTAAATTATCTGCCCCTAATAGCCGTCACTAAACCCGGCTCTACGATGTAAACATTTAGCGTGAACTACAGCTCACCAGACCATGTGGGTGTCGGGGTGGTTGCGATATGCCTAGAGAGGAAAAGAGGGGACTGCTCTAACGTCTTCCAGAAAAGAATTAGCGCGATCTCCGGTCACTGGAATAAATACTTAACTTTATTTCCGATTTCTCACAACCCCGAGAACATGATACTATTTCTGTAAGTCACGTGATCCACCTGCAGGTTGCGGCGTGTCCATGATGTTCATCTCAGGCATGACCTGCATCTACTACAACATGATCCTGGCCTGGGCCGTCTACTACATCTACGCCTCGGTCGCCGTGGAGGTGCCGTGGTTCCACTGTGGGAACTGGAGCACCGCTTGTAAGTTGTCAACTCTCTTGCGACTTTTTCTTTCTTGAACTTCTTTTGTGTGACTCAGTGCTTCTTGCAGTTACCTTTAGTCGTTCTATGCTTCTTGCACTTTCTTCTGTCTGGATATATGTTTCTTGCACATTTATTTTGTGGATCTATTTCATGGACCTTGTTTTAGTGGATATGTGTTTCTTGCTATTTCTTAATCTGTATATTCCATTCGATTCTTTATTGGGGCTCTATGTTTCTTTTACTTTCCTTTTGTCGTTCTATGTTTTTGCACTTTCCTTTTGTGGATTTGTTTCTTGCCCCTTTTTATTGATCTTTTTATTTCATTTTATTCGTGAGTGGGAATCACTTCTCTTTTTTTTTTATCTTTGTTTCTTGCACTTTCTTTTTTGTGTCTTTATATTTTATTCAATTATTTTTTGTTGCTATATGTTATTTCCACCTCTTTATTGAATTTTTAAAATACAATTCTTTAGTGTGCATTTGATTCTTACACTCTCTTTATTGTTGCATTATCTCTTACAGTTTATCTTATATTTATTATTCCTCTCTGTTTCTTGCACTGTCCTTATTGTGTCTCAATCATAACACCAGACTGTATAGAGAACATTAAGACGGTGTCGATAGCCGAATGCAGGTACCACAACGGGACTCCAGCAAGCAACGGCGTCTGCGAGCAGAATGTCTTCGACCAGGTCGTGCTATGGGACTCCAGACTGGCGAAAATCAGCGGCGTCCCCATCGCCTTTCCAGCGGCGGAATATTTTGAGTAAAAATGTTTTAGTTGTGTGTTTTATTCACGTCGTAATTTTACACATGTATGAGTCGAAATGGTTTATACAGCTACAGGCAACTTCATGTATAAAAGTAAATAAATAAATATAAATGTACATATAATTATATATAGATATGTATATGTACGTATATATATAGATATATATATATATGTATATATATATTATTTGTTTATATATATATATATATATATATATATATATATATATATATATATATATATATATATAATTTATATGCTTTAAGCTAAAGACTAGGGACCCGTAAGCACAACATGTAATTTCTGTGTTATAGGAGAGAGGTGCTGGGTTGTGGGCGTGGCTACTCCATGGCGAACATGGGCTCAATAAAACCTCACCTGCTCGTCAGCCTTATCCTTGCTTGGGTGCTCGTCTTCCTCTGCCTCTACAGGGGCATCACGATTTCCGGGAAGGTGAAACGTTATTTCATTCATATTACACATCTATCCGTAAATTCATTCGTCCGCCCACCCATCCGTTTATCCATCGGTCCATTCGTCCACCCAACCATCCATCCATAGATCCATTCATCCGTCCATCCATCCGTCAGTCTATCCATCCGTCTTTCCGTCCATCCATCCATCCATCCATACATACATACATCCATCCATCCATCCGTCCGTCCGTCCATCCATCCACCCATCCATTGACCCATCCATTCACCCGTCCACCCATCCATCCACCCATCCATCCATATATCCATGTATCCACAGATAGTCTATGTCACAGCTCTCCTCCCCTACGGGTTTCTAATGGTCTTGTTTTTTCGTGGTGTTACCCTTGATGGAGCCTTAGAAGGCATCAAGTACTACATCATTCCAGAACTGGACAAAACATTATCTACAACGGTAAACTTTCATCTACCGAGGTCTATGGCACTAAAAAAATTTTTTTTAAAAGATCCATTTTTATGTATAATGTATTTAAAAGTATATCTGTTCATAACTATTAGAAGATTTAGTCTTCTTTTGTGCATGTGAGAGTTACTAGATATTGAAATCACCACCAAGGAGTTACATCATAGGCTGTTGCATGTCATGGGCTCAACTTCGGTTGAAGACGTTGTGGAGTATATTGGCATGCTTGACTTGACTTAATAGACTAATTCCTTTGCGGCCTCTGAAGAGCAAAGGCCCACACCCCCACCTCTCCATTAGACTCGGTTTTAAGCAGCTCTCCTTTTTTTTGGACCAACGTAAACCTGGCTGTATCACCTTCTACTGATTTCTCCCGAATGTGGGGTATATTTATTGAATGGGTTTATATTGATGGTGATATTTTTTTAGCAATTTAGTTTTTAAATATTTTTTTATCCTCGAAAAGATTTGGAAAAATGCCGGCTCGCAAATTTTCTTCAGTCTGTCATGTGCGTTTGGTGGGTTGGTAACGTTGTCAAGTTATAACAAGTTCCACCATGACCTACTCAGGTGAGTTGTACAGGTGGGTTGGTAACGTTGTCAAGTAATTACTTTGTCAAGGACTTGCTAGCTCGGATATCTAGGGGTTGGGTTGGCTTCGCTTTACCCCCATAAGTTGACTGGCTAGCTCAGATATCTAGGGGTTGGGTTCGCCTTACCCCCATAAGTTGACTAGCTAGCTCAGGTATTAAGGGGTTGGGTTCGCTTTACCCCCGTAAGTTGACTGGCTAGCTCAGATATCTAGGGGTTGGGTTCGCCTTACCCCTGTAAGTTGACTGGCTAGCTCAGATATCTAGGTGTTGGGTTCGCCTTACCCCTGTAAGTTGACTGGCTAGCTCAGGTATTAAGGGGTTGGGTTCGCTTTACCCCCGTAAGTTGACTGGCTAGCTCAGATATCTAGGGGTTGGGTTCGCCTTACCCCTGTAAGTTGACTGGCTAGCTCAGATATCTAGGTGTTGGGTTCGCCTTACCCCCGTAAGTTGACTGGCTAGCTCAGATATCTAGGGGTTGGGTTCGCCTTACCCCTGTAAGTTGACTGGCTAGCTCAGATATTTAGGGGTTGGGTTCGCTTTACCCCCATAAGTTGACTGGCTAGCTCAGATATCTAGGTGTTGGGTTCGCCTTACCCCTGTAAGTTGACTGGCTAGCTCAGATATTTAGGGGTTGGGTTCGCTTTACCCCCATAAGTTGACTGGCTAGCTCAGATATTTAGGTGTTGGGTTCGCCTTACCCCCATAAGTTGACTGGCTAGCTCAGGTATTAAGGGGTTGGGTTCGCTTTACCCCCGTAAGTTGACTGGCTAGCTCAGATATCTAGGAGTTGGGTTGGGTTGGCTTTACCCCCATGACTTGACTGACAATGGCTTCGATATGATAAACCCAACACGAGCCTCTGTTCCGTCTGCTGTTCCCAGAGACTCTCTCGTCGTCTGCCTCGGCAACTCATTGACCAGCATCTTCGCCGGCTTCGTCATCTTCTCCTTCATCGGATTCCTTTCCAAGTCGACCAACATCCCCATCAGCGAGGTGGCTGCTGCCGGTACGTATCACTCAACACTTCACTTTTACCTGTGTCGCCTGAATAATGTTTAACATTTAATGCTCCACATTTTACTGTTATGTATTGTTTTTTGTTCTTAAAATAGAAAAACTATTTTGTCTTTCTATTACTTGGGAGCTTTTTTTAATTCCAATAGTAAATACGTTATTGAATAAGTAATGAGTTATTGAATAATTCATGTATGTAAATGCTTTGAAGTGAAATGAATTATTTTAGTTTGTTTTTCCTAGGGTGTTTGCTTTTATTATCTTTTTTTTTTTTGATAGTAAAAATGTATATTCTTATAAACAATCTATATGTTTTTTTACAACTGCTAGTTAATCTGTGCAATGTATACATGGTGTTTCTAATCAAACATTTAAAAACATCAAGTTGACAAAATTTTAACAAGGAATATCAGTTATATGTTCCTTTAAATACTTCATCATTGCAAACAGCTTTATTCTCTTTGACCCAAATAGATGTTCCATCTGTTCATCACACAACATATATTTTTTGTCATTAGGATCCTGAAGATTCCTCTCCTTCACTATAGACCACAAAGTCTTCAAAACGTCCGGCCTTGGCATCTCATTTTTTCCCACAACAGCAGCTAACTGATCAGACAAATGGCATGGGCGACTGTAGAGCGATGGTTTCTTCTTCTTATCTGGGTCTTTTTCCCTCTCTTTTCTTGGTTTTGGAGCTGCAGCTCTCCTTCTTCTCAGGCCTGTTTCTTCTTCTTGAAGTTTTTTGGCAAGATCTTCATCGTCCATCTGTTTAATACTTGACATAACTGGGACCTCACTGTCATCTGCCTTCGTTGCTGATTTCCTTTTCTTTTGTTTGGCACTGGATGTGGTGGGTGCTGACTTCTTGGCTTTCTTTTTTGGAACTTCATCTTCTGAGTTGGCATCACTTTCAACCCCATTTTCATCATCATCTTCATCATCTGAATTTTTTTTCTTTGGTTCATCCTTTCCATCTTCTTCATTATCATCTTCTTCTTTCATTTTCATAACTAATTTATCTATCTCTTTTTTTCTGCTTGAGAAATCTGTTTCAAACTCTTCCTCTAAAGATTTTCTGACCTTTTTAGCAGACAGACTATCCAAGTCTGCTCCGCTAAGGATGTGTTTTATTGCTTTCTTTAGTTCTTCCACGCTCGGTTCAGCCATATCTTACAGCGTTAAAGCATTAATCTAGGCCAGTTTTTTATACCTGCTACATTTTGTTACAATATCAATTTTTGTACTATGTAATTTATTTAGGTAAAGTCTGTAGCGACGTCCTCCTATGTAAATCAATTCGATGTAATTTTTCGAATCGAAACACTTTTATTTTAAAATTAACTTTAAGTAATATTTTACTCTTCATTCCGGGATGTAGTTTTTACATCTATTATACCCAAAAAGAGCAAAATTGATAATTATGTAATTCGATTCTATCACTCCCCCTAGGTCCTACCCTCGCCTTCATTATCTACCCTTTCTGCCTGACCAAATTACCGTGGACAAGCCTCTTTAGCGTTTTCTTCTTCATCATGATCATCCTGCTAGGTATAGACAGCCAGGTAGGTCGTTTTATTCATGATCATCTTGCTAGATATAGACAGCCAGGTAAATGGGGTTTTTTCAACATACATCACATGATCATCCTGCTAGGTATAGACAGCCAGGTAGGTCGTTTTATTCATGATCATCTTGCTAGGTATAGACAGCCAGGTAAATGGGTTTTTTCAACATACATCATATGATCATCCTGCTAGGTATAGACAGCCAGGTAAATGGGTTTTTTCAACATACATCATATGATCATCCTGCTAGGTATAGACAGCCAGGTAAATGGGTTTTTTCAACATACATCATATGATCATCCAGCTAGGTATAGATAGCCAGGTAGGTCGTTTGTTAAACATAAATTAAATGATCAACTGTGACATACTAAAGTTGACCATAAAAATTTGACACACTAAAGTTGACCATAAAACTGTGACACACTAAAGTTGACCACAAAAATTTGACACACTAAAGTTGACCATAAACTGACACACTAAAGTTGACCATAAAACTGTGACACTAAAGTTGACCACGAAAATTTGACACACTAAAGTTGACCATAAATTGACACACTAAAGTTGACCATAAAACTGTGACACACTAAAGTTGACCACAAAACTGTGACACACTAAAGTTGACCACAACAATTTAACACACTAAAGTTGACCATAAATTGACACACTAAAATTGACCATAAAACTGTGACACACTAAAGTTGACCATAAAACTGTGACACTAAAGTTGACCATAAAACTGGGACACACTAAAGTTGACCATAAAAATTTGACACCCTAAAGTTGACCATAAAACTGTGACATACTAAAGTTGACCATAAAACTGACACACTAAAGTTGACTATAAAACTGTGACACACTAAAGTTGACCATAAAACTGACACACTAAAGTTGACCATAAAAATTTGACACACTAAAGTTGACCATAAATGTCTGCCACACTAAAGTTGACCATAAATGTGTGACATACTAAAGTTGACCACAAAACTGTGACACACTAAAGTCGACCATAAAAATTTGACACACTAAAGTTGACCTTAAAACTGTGACACACTAAAGTTGACCATAAAACTGTGACACTCTAAAGTTGACCATACAACTGTGACACACTAAAGTTGACCATAACAATTTGACACACTAAAGTTGACCATAAAACAGTGACACACTAAAGTTGACCATAAATCTGTGACACACTAAAGTTGACCATAAAATGGACACACTAAAGTTGACCATAAATGTGTGACACACTAAAGTTGACCATAAAACTGTAACACACTAAAGTTGACCATAAATGTGTGACACGCTAAAGTTGACCATAAATGTCTGCCACACTAAAGTTGACCATAAAACTGTAACACACTAAAGTTGACCATAAATGTGTGACACACTAAAGTTGACCATAAAACTGTAACACACTAAAGTTGACCTTAAATGTGTGACACGCTAAAGTTGACCATAAATGTCTGCCACACTAAAGTTGACCATAAAACTGTAACACACTAAAGTTGACCATAAATGTGTGACACACTAAAGTTTACAACAAAAATTTGACACGATGTACTAGACCTCCATACTATGAAACACTAAAGACTGTAAGAGAATAAATTTGACTAAAAAACTGAGACACTTAAATTGACCCCTAGATCTGTTAACCTTGACCTTGTCTTCCTGTCTCAGTTCGTGCTAGTTGAGACCGTCATCACTGGGGTGTTGGACTAGTTCCTTTACCCCATGACCTATTAACCTTGACCCTGTCTTCCTGTCTCAGTTCGTGCTAGTTGAGACCGTCATCACTGGGGTCCTCACCCCTTCCCTTGACCCCATGACCTATTAACCTTGACCTTGTCTTCCTGTCTCAGTTCGTGCTAGTTGAGACCGTCATCACTGGGGTCCTCACCCCTTCCCTTGACCCCATGACCTATTAACCTTGACCCTGTCTTCCTGTCTCAGTTCGTGCTAGTTGAGACCGTCATCACTGGGGTCCTCACCCCTTCCCTTGACCCCATGACCTATTAACCTTGACCTTGTCTTCCTGTCTCAGTTCGTGCTAGTTGAGACCGTCATCACTGGGGTCCTCACCCCTTCCCTTGACCCCATGACCTATTAACCTTGACCTTGTCTTCCTGTCTCAGTTCGTGCTAGTTGAGACCGTCATCACTGGGGTCCTCACCCCTTCCCTTGACCCCATGACCTATTAACCTTGACCTTGTCTTCTTGTCTCAGTTCGTGCTAGTTGAGACCGTCATCACTGGGGTGTTGGACTGGTTCCCAGACCTCCGGCTCTACAAGAAAAGGTTCGTCTTTCTCACCTGTTTCACCATGTGTGTCTTGGGCCTGCCTTTGACGTTTGATGTAAGTACCTTTACAGTTTTTTCCCTTGTTTTGGGTTTTAAGTTGCCTCCCTTGACTCTATAAACGGCAATGTGAGTAGATTTTAAGTTGCTTCCCTTGACTTTTAAAACAGCAATATGAGTAGATTTTAAGTTGCTTCCCTTGACTATATAAACGACAATATGAGTAGATTTTAAGTTGCTTCCCTTGACTATATAAACAGGAATATGAGCAGATTTTTAGTTGTTTCCTATGACTTTTTAAATGGCAATGTTTCCTTAATAATGATAGTGGAATCGGCTCTGTTGGATATCCGAGTCCACACAGCTTTGTTGGGTACCTGACCCTAAGGTCACAGAAACAGCCTAAGCTTACTTCATCTGATATATGTATCGACAGGTCTAAAAAGGGTATCTTAATAAAAACAAATGCGTTACTTGCAGGGTGGAGTGGATGTGCTGGATCTTATGGATACATACGTCACAGGGTGGAACGTAATGCTGGTGGCTATTTGTGAGTGCCTGGCTATAGCTATATATGGTAGGTGTTGCTCATGTTAATGATGATGTTGTTTACGTTGCTGTTGATGTTTTTGGTTTTGTTGTTGCAGAGCTAATTGGCATTAAGCTAGGCGAAACGGTGCTGTGTGGATTGCTATGTTCGGATCCTGCTTGGTTAAAACTGTTTTATCCTAGCCGTTGAAACAACACTTTTTCTCAATACTTCTAGTGTTGCATTTGTTGTTGTTGGTATACTTGCAACAACCAGCTGTTCATGTTGCAGCTGTTTATGTTTTTTTTTTTGCGTCTGTACTCCTATTTGTTGCGTATGCTTATTTTCATGTTGTTGTTGTTCACGTTTTTGCTATTATTTTTGCCGTTTTCGATTATTTTGTTGTTGCTGGGTTTTTTTTTTTTGGCTATCGGTTTATTGTTGTTTTTTTTTTTTTCAATTATGTGAAATGGCATGTCATTTCAGTTACCTCCCATGTAAAAGTTTAGGAATACAAGGGAGACAACCTATAAGATAATAATACTAATGTGTTTTTAATGCCGGCTTTAAATATTATAAATGTTTCTACATCAAGGGCCTGACGTGGGGTATTAAATAAAATAATGTTTTCCATGTCTGGTATTTAATAATATCACGCGTTTCCCTGCTACAGGTCCCGAGAGATTCCTAACGGACATTGACCTGATGTTGGGGGGAAAATTCTGCCGATGTTGCCGCTTTAACCGGGCCATCAAGTCGTGGTTTAAATTCTGTTGGCTCTTCAGCGCCCCCGCCCTCACCCTGGTAACTCTCAATAATGTTGTCATGTCTGGTTTGTAAACAAAGAATGTTTACTCTCTTTTTGTTAAATTACTTTAGTTTTTATTGTTTCTTTAATTTAAAATATATTTTGTTTTCATCAAATTTATTTCTCATTGTCGGCTCGTTTTAATGTCCTTTAACGTTTTTTTTTTTTTCTGTTTTTTATAATATTTCTTTCTAAAATGTCACCTTTTTATTGTCTCTCTTTTAAGTTAATTTGTTTTTTAAAACTGCTGTATAAAGTACTTTTTGACTGCTTTGTCGGGGGCTCTCTTGAGATTTATGAAAAATGTTCTAGTGAGGATCGCGTGGCTGGTTCCATTTGTCGTCAACACTTAAATGTCACTGTTTTAAAACTAGCCGTTTTAATGCGTCTCATTAAGTGAAAATGAATATTAAATGCTGTTTATTACAGTTGATATGTATTGGTTAAAACCATGTATCTGCACTTAAAGTAACACGTTTTTCTTTCAGTTTGTCCTAGTATCTTCAGCTGTGGATTATCATCGCATAGAAAAGTTACCCAAATGGGCAGACTGGATAGGATGGGTCATCTCGCTATCTTCCGCGGTCTTCATAAGTGTCGCGGCGATACATACGATATGTAGGATGGAGGGGCGTGGCCTACAGGTAAGGGGATCTCGGACTTGTATAATCTTCTTGTTATATATGTATCTATATATATATCGTTAGTACATGGGCACCGCCACTTGTACATGGGCGCCGCCATGATTGTTTTGGACCTGTCAGCTGATCCACTTTCACCCAAAGTGAGTACGACCTTGATAGTACCAATAATACCATACCGTCTACGTTAGCAGCTGAACACTAAAACAGATACTTATTCTAAACCTACTCCAAACCCTAACCCCCCATTATAAACTTGAACCTTTGATCAGGTGTTAAGTTAATCTTATCTCTAACCCCAAATCCTAAAGCTTTAAAATCAAACTTTACCCGTTAGTGCTCAAGACACAAGGGGCAGAGGAAGCTCATCTGTTTCTGTGACCTCGGCATATGAAGGGATATTGCGGTCAGCACTATGCCCAGTCGCCTTAATTTTCCCTAACGTGAATTAGGTACCCATCAGAGCTTTGTGGACGCAGTGACGTTCTCCTGACTTGAATCCAGATTCGAACTCGAGACTTTCGGGTTAGCAGTCAAGCGCCCTACAGCGAAGACCACGCCCCATTTTAAAAGCAATACCAACTCCAAAATAAACAAATCCAATACGGTGTAGCCTATCTATCACAAAACTACCGCTACATCCACTTGTACCTTTGACCCCCAGAAGTTGAAAAACTGCTTTAAGCCAACCAAATGGTGGGGTCCTGCCCAGATCGAGCATCGTCTGCTGGTTGCCCAGTACGTCGAGGACTTTGTCGTCCATCCGGACGTTCCAGAGAGCATCCTGGCCTTCGATAGCGTGGTGGACGAGTCCGAGCACATTCGGAGGATAACATCAGTAGACTTCTCAGACTACGACTCCACCTATATATCCTGATGTTATATCAGTAGACTTCTCAGACTACGATTCCACCTATATATCCTGATGTTATATCAGTAGACTTCACAGACTACGGTTAAATATATATCTTAATGCTAGACGTGTAAAAAGAGAATTAATTAACTGTTTGACCCATATATCTTGATGCTAGACTTGTGTAAAAAGTGAATAAATTAATTGTTTGACATTTGTATCTTGATGTTAGACTTGTGTGTACAAAGTGAATTAATTAACCGTTTGACCAACACACATGACACTAGACTTGTGTACAAAGTGAAAAAAAAATGAGAAAGCTCAAGCTATCTGGCATTTATTTATTTAAAACATGTGACTTATGTGTATAGAATTAAATCAAAAGAATGAACTCTCCTTTTCAAATGTCATTTACTCATGATATTTCTGTTATTTTTATACCTCTTTTATCCATACATATTTGGCACAGTAACGATCAAGATCTAAAACTTTTTAGCTTTCTGGAATAAAAGTTTCCCTTAAGATTGTCATTTTATCAAATTTCAGTAAAGGATAAACAGAAGAAATTTCTACCGGTTAATCTATCCGATTCCTTTGTTTTTATATTTGTTAAAGAATTGTTTTGATTCTGTTTACGTTTTGTAATTATTATTTTCTTCTTTACGTTCATAAATGTTCATTTTCAGAACATTTTTTTAGACACTTTTTGCCTACCGATATTTTAATTTATGGCACAAACATGTGTATGTATATATATATATATATATATATATATATATATATATATATATATATATATATATATATATATATATATGTGTGTGTGTGTGTATAAGGAACCGTAAGCCTCATTTTAAACATACTATACCAATACTTGAGTTACCTTTCTTTGTGATAATATTTCCAATTTTAAAAGCTTTTTTTATTTAGTTCAGTTACTAATTGTTTGATTGTTTCTGAGTTTGTGGCAAACACAATTTTAAACCGATTCGGATGCAGCGATTTCATACTCTAATTACTTATTACCGACGACAATGCAAAAATATCAATTTTCCATTATAATTATATTAGACATTAGTTTAATCGTTAAAAAAAAACTAATCAAAGATTACTTAATTTAATAATAAAATGGGAGATAACAAGATAAACACTAGCCATTGCAGGGTGACACATATAATAAATTGTTTTTTAAAACAATTTATTAGATCTATATTATCCTTCCACACCCAGAAGAAGGTGATACAATCAGCCCTACGTGAACACAACTTTTTAAAAAAAGCCTTTATTCGAACATTTTTCGTCACCTATTGAAAATTGTAGGAGTTGCTTTCAAAAATGTTTCTTGGCCTGTAACAACAATTTGTTTGATAACCTTCTGCTGAAACTATTTTTTTAGTTTGGTTATTTCACACCTAGAGCTTCGTAGGAGACTTTCCACCCCCACCTCTAACTCCATCCCTCACCCTACCATTGTTATAACAGATCCAGAGTTCTAATGGCAATTCACACCAACAACATTAGCGTGGCAGTTACCGTACTGTAGACAATAAACGAGCCGATTGTCTTTTAAAGATGGGACCCAGCTGTCTTTTATTACCCAATTATAGAGTGAGCACACAAATGATGCGGGTCGCTGGATGGGATACACACGACGCACATGAGCAGAGTTCCTACAGAGTGGTCTACTGTTATTTTTTTTTTCCGCATTTTACGACATCGTTACAGTCTCGAGTTTATTTTCGGCGTTATTGTATCGTTGACTGGCGATGGATTGGGTGGAACAGTCGCATGGGTGGTGCCATTTTATGGCGGTATTGTTTTTAAAACTTGCGACGTGGAAGATGTTATGGTAGGTGTTTAAAAAAATGGACGTCCAGAAATGACAAAAGGCAACTAAAAGAATAGGGTTGGTTTTGGATAGTTGTGAATATGAATATATTGAAGGGATGGTTAATAATTATAAAACAGTTATAAAATTGTAATATATGTTAAGTTTGGTTAAAATACGCGCATCGTAGTACTAGGATATTATATATATATATATATATATATACATATATATATATATATATATATATATATATATATATATATATATATATATATATATATATATATATATAGCGGGCGGCTGGGGTGATCAAGCGACCCGGGGGTAGGGTAACAAAAACCTGCCATATCTGACTATGATTTTCTAATACTGCTACATCTTTTTTGGCGATTCCTCATTATAATCCAACAGCCCAGCACTGCTTATGTAACAGGGAGAATATATTTTGGGCACATCTGTAGAAGAAATCAATGAGTTTCTATAAACATTTAATGCAAATCGGCAAACTGAACAGCAACAGCTCCTCGTGAAGGGGACATACACTCTCGATTATATCTAATGTAAAGAAACAATTGAAATCTACTTCATCTGCAATATGCGGAAGACGTAGTAGAGCTGTAGTATCGTAAAGTTCATAGCCATGAGGCGGACGTCCACAGTTCAAGACAGTTTAAGATAGAAAGAAACTGTTACGACTCCTAAATTATACCTTAATCTTCTGAGGTTACAGAAACGGATGAACTCCACTCCACTACACCTGCTTTCTAATTAGGTCTTAAATGCTGCTATGACATTCGTGGGACGGCGTGGTCTAGCGGTAGAGAGCTAGACTGCTAACCCGAAAGTCTCGAGTTCAAATCCGATTTCAGGCCAGTAGAATTTCCTTGAGTCCACCCAGCGCCGATGTTGATTTAACTCCAGTAACTGAGACTCTACCTCATCTGCCCCATGTGTCTTGAACACGAACGGCAAAAGATGATGATGATGATGATGATGATGATGATATTGACCGACACGACAACAAAAACTAAAGGCATTGTTTCCCATTCAACACACAGACATCTCTAATAACCTGTGCTATTTGCTGTTATTTAATCAATCGTATTTTTAATTATCCAATGCGGTGAATTATAAAATCGATTAACACAGATACTGAACTCGATGTATTCCTTCATTTTATTTTTCTTAAACAGATACTTTAATGAAATATTTTTGTAATTAAAGATGTTTTTTTATAATTATATTCATAGAAAACCGGTTCAATATTTGCCACTCTCATCCATCTAGTGACGAAAATAAACATGTTTTTTTTTAATAATCAAAAACGTGTATGATGCTAGCTCTGATAAAGTCTGTTGCTGTCAACATGAAAAAAAGCTAACGTCATTAACATTGTAATCATCTGCGAACCACGGAAATAATCCGCGAACCACAGGAATAATCTACAGTACAGGAAAATAATCTGCGACCCATAGAAAACATCTGCAACTAACATAAATAATCTGCTACACACTGAAATAACCAGCGACCCACGGAAATAACCTGCGACCCACGGAAATAACCTGCGGCCTATGGAAATAACCTGCGGCCCACTCCATTGAAAGCGGCCGACCACTGTTGCCAATTTATTCAACAAACAGCTTTTAAGAGTGCTCGTAGGCTGAT